CTCTCTCTCTCTCTCTCTCTCTATATATATATATATATATATATATATATATATATATATATTGTTATTTCTTGCTGTTATAACTACATTTCATAATTATTAATCTCTCTCTCTCTCTCTCTTTCTCTCTCTCTACCCCATGTACAAAACAGTCTATTGGGTGGTTTTTGAGTCCCTTTTCAAATTGCACGATTTCTTTCATGTTCTCTCGATCTCTTAATTATGCTTTTATTAGGAGAATTGGTGGATGTGGCTATTTTTTCTTGAGGGAGTGAATTATTTTAATTATTTTGCACACTTAATGAATAACATAATTAGATTTTGTTAGCAACCATAGAAGTTCAGATTGAAACATCACTAACACTCATGCTTGAACATAAAATTTTTACTTTATTGATATTCACCCAAGTTACATTAACTTGGTTTTTTCGTCAATGGGTTCTGCGTCTACCATATTGTTTCTTCATCGATGGGTTTTATTGTCTCGTTGTTAATTCGCTAGCTTAGTGTAATTATAGCTTACTGGAAGAGTAGATTTCTCTCTCTTAAAGCAGAAAACATGTGATTTGTGCAGGACAAGGACGTCAAAGTGAACGGGCAATGCCACATTTCAAAGGAGATTATACTAGTTTTTGCAAAGAGAGATCATGGGGGGTTGGGAAATGCTTTTGCATTGCTTCCAACCAAATGAAAGGGGGTTATTACCTCTCTTTTCCAATCATAGGCTATTCTTCTTGTATTTTTATTCGGTGTTCAATAAAGAGAGAAAGAAGGCCAGGACCAATATTCTCACAGCCCAAAGATTTTGCAGCAGTTAAATATGAATGTTTGCTTTCTTCAAAAACATGGGGAACTGGCGTTATACAATCAAGGCTGAGGAAGTTGGGTTCTTCTAATGGGTTTTGTCATGAATCACAAGCTAACCAATTGATTAAGACAAGAGCTGATTTAAAATCAAAACCTTATGATATCATAGAATCAAAGTCTGACTCTGTTAAATTCTTCAAAGTTCTAAGTGAGGTTGTGTTGTCTGAAGAGGACACACAAGACAAATCTCCTTGGTGGGAGCAGTTTCCAAAGCGATGGGTTATCGTTCTTCTTTGCTCTTCTGCATTTCTTCTCTGCAATATGGATCGTGTATGCTTCTCTCTTTTTCTTAGCTTTATGTGACAACAAATTACAATTTGAGTACCTGCAAAGTTAGGTGAGGATGCTATTATCCATTGGTATATGGACGATGGACAGAGATGGAGAGAGTGGGATCCACATTAGCGTCATGCCTAGTTTTGGTAGATCTTGCTCTGTCTCTACCACTATGCATTAAAATGGACAGTGGTGACCCTGTGGATTTGGTTCTTCTATAGTCCACCGGATTGTAGTATACTTTGTCATGATGTTATCTCTGTGGTTTTGCAGATTATTCGAAAAAATACCTGGTTGACATCTTTACATTTTTATACCCATATGCTTTCGCCGCAAGAATAATCTCACCAATGTGGAAAGAGAGCATGTTGCTCATAATATTTAGAAGCATTGAAGAAGAAGATAGTTGTAGCCATCTCCTGAATTACATGTCCAGAGTTTTCTGCTTCAGACCAATAAGCTGAAACTCTGTTCCATTTGTAGAAATTTAAAATGTGACACATGGTAAATCCATTTTTATATCCCCCAATTTGCCAATTTGAACTTTTTTTTTTTTTGGGTGGGGGGTGGGGGGTGTGGTTCAAAAATCAGAGATTCACATAATAATCTCACCAGCATATATTCATACCACATCTTAGGACATGTCGGGGATGCTGCTCCAAAACAGGTGCCACACTCACTTTTGAGTGGCTTTTAAGTGACATCCAGAATATGTGTTATTGGTTTCTTTGGAAGCCACATTTTACACGCTTTTCAGTGCATTACGCACAAGCAAGGGCACCACTTTTTGTACAAGTAAAATTAGAAACTATTAATTATAATTCTAAATGCCAAATAACTGTTTTTCCCCCCTAGTGGAATCGGAATGAAAACTGACATAAAGATGTACACAAACCAAATGAGCCACTAGTGTTCATGAGGTTATCTGAAAGATTAAAAAGTTAATTTCTGGGCCTCTATAATAGGACTAATGTTTCTCCTCTATTTTTCTTTCTTATATGCATTATGGATCTTAAGCATAAAAGGTCTAAGACCACATGGTTGGAGCTGCATGCCATTTTCTTCATCCATCTAATAGTTCAACTGTTTTTCTATTCATAGTCTTCTTGATTTTGATCCATAATTTCTTTTGTTGTTGTGTATACTACATGGCTTTTTTTCTCAATGAGAAAAGGAAATAATTTGTTATAGTTGGTTATGGTGATATATTTCTCTTGGTAGTTATGAAGGTTGCAAGCTGGCACTTGGTTATTGGCTTAAAGGAAACAATTTACTGTGGCAGGTAAATATGAGTATCGCCATTCTTCCAATGTCGGCAGAGTTCAACTGGAGTCCTTCAACTGTTGGCTTGATCCAGTCATCTTTCTTCTGGGGCTACCTTCTGACCCAAGTATGTTTTGACTATTCTACGGTTTGTTCTTTTCTTCTTTGAGCAAGACCTTTAAGTGGTTTTGACATGATCAACATTTTCTTGTCGTATTTAGGCTCTGTGAAAATTTGGATACAGAGAAAAATGAGTGGTTGATCTTGGTTGTGGAAGAATTTGTTTGGTTTGTTAGGAGGATTACAAGAATTCATTAGGGTTGTTTTGCATGTTGCTTTTTGTCAAGCAGACCAATTATTGAGCTCTATGTTATGGTTCAGATTGCTGTAATCTTCTATCATGCGGAATTCCGTAAGGCATAGACATAATAGATGCTCTGGATTACTAATAGGCACTTTGAGGAAGCCAAGGACTTCTTCCTGAAGTCTTATTATGGGCAGACTGGCAATTGTGATAAGCAAGCACAACTTGATATTGAGAGGATCAGATCAGTAGGATTATTAAGTGTGCTTGATCTAGAGGGACAATCTTGTAGTGTTATTCAAATGTAAATAGATCATTGGTCAAGAGAGTGGTGACCCTTGTAATTGGTTATTAATCAAGATCCATGACATATATCATTTTATAAATTCCATTTTCGCTTTTATTATGAGAATATTGTGAAGTATAAGTTATATTTTTCTTGGTATAATTATGTTGACATATCATTTACACTATTGTTATATCCCCTTTGTTATTTGGGCATTAGTTTCAAGTCAAGCACATCCTCTGCTGATACTTCTTTCACAATAGTTGCACTTCATTTTATGGAAAGTATTAAGTATGGTTCATCTAATGGTCCTTTATTATTATTATTATTAGTTATGCTTCAAATTGTAGATTGCTGGAGGCATATGGGCAGACACAGTTGGTGGAAAGCTTGTGTTGGGTTTTGGGGTAGTTTGGTGGTCCATTGCTACTGTTCTAACCCCTGTAGCTGCAAAGCTTGGATTACCTTTCTTACTTGTCATGCGCGCCTTCATGGGGATTGGTGAGGTTGATTTTCCTTCCATTATTTTCTACTATTCTGCACTTTTCTTTTGCCCTTTTACTACTGTGCTGATGAAAAAATTAGTCCGGAAAAATATAGGGTCAATTATGTCGAAATATTTCATAGACAAAGTTATGCCATAAAATTGGTGGACTAGAAAAGTCATTCCTTAATATAGCTCCTATTGCATGGCGTGCGTTATTCCTTGGCATCTGTTGGTAGTTTAAGCATTTATTTGCATGGATTGGTAATGAGTGTAAAATATTGGATTAGCATACCAAATACCAGGCCACTCAACCAATAAAGAAATTCAAATGAAGATACGGAGTTTGATCTGTCCTCCCGATAACTGACTTACAATTTAACTGTCTGTAATATTTGACTATGAATTTTATTGAATCAATATTGGGAAAGTATTGTCTTTAGGGGATGGGTCTTACTTTGTATTAATGCAAAACAAGTTTGAGGTAGAGAATTTGGAGATGCCACCCTGGCGAGGAGAGGAGTCTTTATTCATTATTTCTTTCTTTATTTCTATCTTTTCTGAAAGTTAGCAACAAATTTCATATGTTGGTTTTTCCATTGTAAATTTGACGATCACTATATTATTGAAAATTTGGTGGTCATATATAAAAGAGCTCAAGCAACACATGGTTTCAAGGCATTCATGTGATGCATATAGCATAAAAATGTAAAAATAATTCAAGTTTGAAGGATTTTCAGGAACTGATAATCTCCCAAGCAAGGTAGTCATATCTAAGAAGAATGTGGTGGTAGAGAAAAAGACTGCTGTAACTAGTGAATGATGCAGATCTTTTGATGGTAGCATCCTATGTCAATGGGTGATGTAAATCTGGGTCCTATCAAAAGTAGATTCTATTAAATATTCTTTTATCAGCAATTCAGGCTGGTTAAACTCTTGTAGGACACTACAATATGAGGATCACATGTTGATTTGTATGTTTTCCTCATCAGCATTCTTTGCAATCTTTGATTGGTTTACCTTAATATTATATCTTCTCTCAATACGTTTTTTTCTTTTTCCCTTGATGAATGACTATTTATCTTTCTCTCAGGGAGTTGCCATGCCTGCTATGAATAATATTCTATCCAAATGGATTCCTGTCAAAGAGAGGAGTAGATCACTGGCATTAGTTTATAGTGGGATGTACCTTGGATCCGTAACTGGCTTGGCTTTTTCACCCTTGCTAATACAGAAGTTTGGGTGGCCATCAGTTTTTTACTCCTTTGGTTCTCTTGGAACAGTGTGGGTTGCTATTTGGCTAAATAAGGTGAGCTAATCTATTTACTTCATTTCATGGGGTTTTGATATATCATGCATATAATTCTGTATCCTTTATATAATATTTCAACCACTTTATAAGGTATGTTGCTTTTGCAAATTTCAAGTAGTAGTTATAATGATGATTTTAATCTGTTGCATTCATTTCAATTGTGTCCTACAATTTATTCTCTCGAAAGCCTTTATTTAGGTGAGACACTTCAAATTGCGGACCATTGTTCATAAACTCAAACTCAGGTTGCAGATAGGACATTTCCAAAACCTAGTCAATTTGCTACTTGGGCAAGTCAAATCGACCTTGTTCTTAAAAAATATTAGATAAAATAAAATCTGCATAAAACTGAATTGCTAATAAATTGTTAATTAATTATTGCGAGTTTGATGATGTGTCTATGGTGATCTATATAGTAATAAATATCATATCTGTATGAACCAGGGTTTTAAAAATCGACGAGTCGCAACGGACTCGCCCGAGTCGACATGAGAATCAGTCATCCCATGTTGATTCTTGTGTAAAACCGAAAATTGCCTGGTTCTAGAAGAGAATCGACGATTTTGAATAGTAAATCATTCATATCACGTCATAAATCGCGATTCTAAGAGGCTTATGACGTCATAGGTTGGCGAGTCACTGAACAAGGATACTTTGGTAATTCAGTTTAAAAGGTAAGACGGTATACCCCTTATGTCGATCACGCTGACAGTAACGCTATTGAAGAGGTACTTATAGCTCTTAAACTCTTAAAGTTTGTTTGATTCTTCGATGTGGGATTTGAGTGGAGTGATATAACATTCAAACGTTATTCAATATAAACAATTATTGTACAAAGGTAGTCAACACGTAGCGATTGGCTGCCGTGGTTATCAACTACATTTCTTCTTGGGATGTCTCAAGTTCGAATTTCTTGGGACGTCTCAAGTTCGAATCGAGCTTGCGATGCTAATCTGCAATTTTATTTTTTGTCTTAAAAAAAAATAGAAAGAAGAAAATAATATCATAAAAAAAAAGACAAATAAAAAGAAGAAAATAATATCATCAAAAAAATAAAAAGAAAAATATGTTTTACTTTTGTCTTCAAAAAAAAAAAAATGCAGAAAATAGTGTCATCAAAAAAATAAAAAGTAATACAACAAGCATTTCTTGTTAAAAAACAAAAAAGACAATGCATCTTCAATTTCAGTATATAATATTGTAGTTAGTTAGGTTTCAATAATTTTGGATTATAATTAGTTAGGTTGTAATAATTTGGGTTTTTTTTAGCGGATTAGGGTTTTCCACCAATTCGAGATTTTAGTGGCAATTTTTTCATCGATTTAATCCATTATTTATTGTAGTCTATATATGATTATATACTTTATCTATGATAACTCTTTGTTTTTTTTTTATGTGATGCAAATTTAATGGTTAACATAAGTTCATACAGGGAAAGAACATCTCAATATTCGTAAATTGATAAAAAAATGAAAGTTAATAATGTAATACCCGTATTTCTTATTAGATTCATAAAAAAAAACATTTATAATGAATTTTAATAATTTTTTTGGGTTTTTTTTAAGGGTTAATTGGATCGCTTCGGCTGATTCCCGATCCGGATAGCCGATTCACCGATACGAATGGGTTTTTGAGATGCCCGATTAGGGGCACCGATCTGTTTTTTAAACCACTGGTATGAACGTGTTATTCATCATCATCGCTATCAGAGCCTTTTTCCAACTATTTGGGGTTGGCTATATGAATCTTGATCCGCCATTCTGCTCTATAAAGGGCCATACCCTCAATGAGGCCATAAGTCCTCATATTTTTCTTCCTACTTCTAACCATATCATTTTTAGCCTACCCTTGCCTTTTTTGAGCCTTTCACTTGAACTAATTCGCACCTCCTATCAGGTGCTGTATGGGGTTTGCACTGCCCATAGCCAGCCCACCTAAGTTTACTTTCTATTATCTTATCACCTATTGGAGCCGCACCTAAGTTCTCCCAAATGTATTTATTTCGAATCTTATCCCTTCTCGTCTTGCTACTCTTCCATCTCAATATCCTCATCTCAGCTACACTCATCTTATGGGTATGTTGTTCCTTGACCTCCTACCATTCCGCCGTGCCCCATAAAATGTATTATTATTATATATAATTTTACTATAATATCTATATAAGTCTAACAAATTGACCATATTCTATATAGTATGATGTATAAAATTTCAAAAACTATATGTACTACCCGATGAATTGAATCAATCATTCAGATTTGTATTACACCATATGACTTTTTTCAAACTTTGGGTTCAAGTTTTTGGTAGCTATTATTCAGAAAAGGGATAGTTATTGCAACAATGTTATGTGATGTTGCCTTCTTAACTCCCTAAAGGGGTGTGGTGCTTCATGCAAATTTTTTGGAATGTTACACAACTGGATAACAATAAGATGGCCTTTAGAATTTACAAGATGATGTAGAGGTATAATTTCTAGTTTGCAGAACTAAATCATCTACACCTTAAGCTCCAAATGGCAATAGTTGTTTTCCTCAAAATGCATTGTTTACCTTTATAATTGTGCCATTTATTGCATGTGTATGATTATTTCGCACACATTACTAATGGTTTCATATTTGGATCTTGATCAATATGTGACCTCGAATAAGCATTTCAAATTGAAATATTTTCTGTTTGTTGCATGAATGTATTGACCACACTTTCTAGTGTTTAAGTGGAAATAAGACTCAGTCATGAGTTTTTTCATGTCTATTTATTTCATATACTTGAATCTGTATTTATTTATTTACATGATAGGCTTATAGCTCTCCACAAGAAGATCCACAACTCTGTGAAGATGAAAAGAAGCTTATTGTAGGTGACAGTGTTTCAAAGCAACTGACCACCACCATTCCATGGAGACTAATATTATCAAAGCCACCAGTTTGGGCCCTAATAATCTCCCACTTTTGTCACAATTGGGGGACATTCATTCTTCTTACATGGATGCCAACATACTACAATCAGGTGATTGATTCTGTATTATTTTGTGACTTACCGAGAAAAGGGTTTACTCGGAACGATTATGCATGCCTCATTTTTGTCTTATATAAACTGCTGTGATCTACTGAGAGAATTTGGCTTGGTGAGCATAATTTGATGATTTTATATCCATTCTGATAAGTCCTACTCTCTCTGTCACCATTTATTTCAATGGATTTACTATGGTTGCTCTATGGACCGTTGGATTGTAGTATGCTTTCCCATTACAATGACAATCATGATCCCAAATTTCCATCTAGGAGCATGTTGATTGCCATAGAAAGCTTTAGCTAGAAAATAGTGCTCATGAAAATGTATGAGTGTGATAAGAATTAGCCTCTTGATTAATCATCATCATCCAAGCCTTATCCCAATTATTTGGGGTTGGCAAATTAGCCTCTTGATTACCTCATCTAAAAAGGCCTTAGTTTATCGATTTGTACAACACAAGGTTTTCTTTTCATGAATACCAATATTTCAATCAGAATTTGGCTAGTATTTCTTGAGATACGACTGGCTTATGCCATTTATCTTGGATCAGAAACTGGCACCTAGATGCACATTATCTTGACGCAAAACATACTAGACTAATTTTTATGTCCTTCTTAATAACATAATCTCCTTTAATATTCTCCTTAATGCAATAATATCTCCTTTATCAAAACAGACTATATGAGCTACAACTTTAAGCTTCTCGTAACGTGTAATTGTCGTTTATTGTTTATTTTCTAGGTATTGAAGTTCAACCTGACAGAGTCTGGGCTTCTCTGTGTTCTGCCGTGGCTTACAATGGCAGTATCTGCAAATATAGGAGGCTGGATTGCTGACTCTCTTGTGAGTAAAGGGTTTTCCATCACAACAGTTCGCAAGGTAGGCAGAAGGACACCATTGTTCTCCATTTTGAACTGAATTCCAATCTAAATGAAGTGATTGTGCTGTGAAGAAGTTTCTTCTCATTTTATTGAATAGTTTCTTCTGAGTTTGTTGATAACTTGTAACTTAATAAAAAGTAATGATATAAAATAAAAGTGAAAGATAAACTCAAGCATTGTTTCTAATGCTTTTGAAATTTACCAACAGAATTATTGATAAACTCAAGCATTGTTTCTAATGCTTTTGAAATTTACCAACAGAATTATTGATAAATTCGGCAGTACACATTGTTCTACTAATTAAAGGAAATTGGGTGGCAAGAATACTGGTTCTATGTTTCATTGGTGGTGACTTTGATAATATTTTTACTAACTGTATTTTACATTATATGCACCAGCTACTTGAGATAAGTAGGGTTTTTAGTGGATTTATAAAAGGGTTTGTAAGGAACTCAAGCGAAGAAGAATTTGGTTAGATTTGCATTTTATGCATTCATTGTTGAACGACTCACTTCTAATTTTTTAATACACTTTTTTACTGTTTTGATTTTGCAGATTATGCAGTCCATTGGGTTTCTTGGGCCAGCTTTCTTTCTTACACAATTGAGCCATGTCCATTCCCCTGCAATGGCAGTCCTATGCATGGCATGCAGTCAGGTTTGTGACGTTGATTCTCTTGAAGAAAAGTATACTGTAATCCAATATAGTATGATAGATATCTATAGTCCATTAACTTAATCCAGCATACTATGATATACTCATAATCTATGAGTTCATCACGACCATCTGAAATCATAGAAAGAAGGAGATGAACATTGGATAGTATGATGTACTAGACCCAAGTATATACAATTTACTTCTCACGTATATCACGAGGCAAACATGGTGGCTGACTCTATAATCAAGGGGGCTGCTACATCATCAGAGGCTACTGTGTGGAGAGATCACCCTCCTGATTTCCTAATTTTATTGTTTTCTCATGATGTCGCACGCCTTCCCCATGATAAGGTTGTAACATGACTTGCATTTAACTGTTTATTTTATTTACTTAATGAACACGGGTAGGGGGCCCAAATCATCACTGATTTACAAGAAAAAAGTTTATACAAGTTACAAGATAGGGCATAGATGGCATTATTAAAAAGTTTATACAAGTTACAAGATATCATTCTGAGATATCTCATATGGATATGGTGTCTGTGGCGGTTTTTGGATTACATGAATTTCTGTAATCTTTTCATTTATCTTTACAGGGAACTGATGCATTTTCACAGTCCGGTTTGTACTCTAATCATCAGGATATTGGCCCTCGATATGCTGTAAGTACTGTGTTTTTGCTCTAACAGTGTCATGTTTTAATCCAATAGATATTAGTAATATAGGCTGTCTTTAAACTTGATTTTCCCCATATATGGGGTTTCATTAAGGATGCTGCTTTTGGAATTTTCATTCATTGCTTTTGGCACATCAGCTATCATCATGTTTCCAATACTTTGGTATCATACTTCCATGCATGAGAAAATTACTCACAATCACAATTAATTCTCTCTGTCTCGCTCATCGCAAAAAAGTAGCCCAATTTCACCCGAATCACATATATGTTTCCACTATGTAAACTAATATTCATGTTTTTGTGGATTGTGTTTTAGAACTGGTTTGTTAGATTTTCTTGGTTTTTGAGAAAAAGAAAAGTGTTGAGCTACCTGATATCTCTTGAATTTTGTAGGGTGTACTTCTGGGTCTGTCGAACACTGCTGGAGTACTGGCTGGAGTCTTTGGGACAGCAGCAACTGGTTACATCTTACAGCACGGTTTGTTCTTTGGATGACCTTAAATGTTGTTTTCATGCCATTTTTTAATGTCTTTCAACGCTCTCTCTCTCTCTCTTTTTCTCTCTCGTCTTTGTTCTGATTATGGTCACAGAAAAAATCCAGGCTGTGGGACCGGATTTTTACCACCTCCAACCTCCCTCCCCTCTCCCTCTCTTTCACGCACACACATATTCCTTGCTTCTCATTATGTTTATGGAGAAGTCCAGGCTCATGGGATGATCTCTCTCTCTCTTATCTTGGTGCTGATTGCGTTCATGGAAAATTCAGGCTTTCTTGTGTCTTGCTTCTGATGTGTTCATGGAAAAATTCAGGCTTTCTAGTGTCTTGCTTCTGATTGTGTTCATTGTGTTCATGGAAAAATTCAGGCTCATGGGATGATGTATTCAAGGTGGCAGTAGGCCTATATCTTGGAGGAACAGTGGTATGGAACCTTTTCTCCACTGGAGAGAAGATACTTGACTGATGCATGAAACAACAATCAGCAGGTAGATATACACATTCATAAAAGGAAAGTAATTTATTCAAGAAGAATACAAAGAATAAGAGGCTCTTTGTAAAATATGAATTAATTATTTAATTCTGTAAAATTATGAATCTTTCTAAAGCTATCAATTTTGGGAGTGACTTTGATTGGTTACAATTTTGATGATTTCAGCACCATGTCCCATGTAAGAGTCCCCCAACAACAGGAAAAAAAAAAAAATGGAAAGAGAAAACTTAGCCTTCATTCAAGATAGTTTCATGTGCATCTCATTTCTCAATTTCTAAGATCCATACCAATCACAGTCAAGTTTAATTTCAGGTTTCCAAAAGTCATAGATTGGAGATAATATGTGGTCTGTAGTCTAGTAATAATGGATGTGGTTTGCACAAGGTTGCAACCTTAAACAATCCAATTAAGGCGCACCTCTAAATTTTATAATAAATGAAAATTTGATTTCAAAAATTCTTAAAATGGCTTGAGAATCTATTTTCATCTCTAATTATAAAATTTTTAACTCTAAAAATGGTTTAAATCAAGTAGATCTATAAATACATGAAAATCTTGAAAAAGAACGGTCCAGATAATGTGTTGCAAGATACACTATTTCACGGACTCGAAATCTAATTTTCTTTTCATATTCATACATCTCGATGTTGAGATGATCAATTAGAGGATTTTTCAATATCCAAACAACCATGTATTTTTGAGGTTCATCTTTAAACTTTTATGGTCTTTTCAAATGTATCCTGAAATCCAAAACCATTCCTTTTCTCCTTTTCCCCGGTTTCAGGAGATTGTGGCTTAGTGAATTAATAAATGATTCAATTGGCAACAGTATTCGGTGAGTTGGTCTCTCATGCGTCTACAATGGTTTTCATAGGATATATGACTTGAGACATTTTCCCAAATCACATGATTTGGATACTTGATGGTTCCGCAGGCACCCTTTTAATGATTCAGATTGAATCTAAAAAAGAACATATTTTATTTTATTATTATTTAAAAATGACCTTTATCTAGAATTTGGGGGTATAAATGTATTTTATATGGCACATACAATAAAAATAATAAAAAAATATTTCAAACAAAAAAGTTAACTAAAATACACCTTAAACAATTTAATAATATTTTGATCAGATTTTTTTTTTGTTATTTTTATTTGATCCACCGTATAAAGATACATTTATAACCCAATTTACATATAAATATAATTTTAGATAAAAATAAAAATAAAATATAAAACCTTTTTGGCTGTTTGATGTGGCCACATTTAATCAGAGCCATTAAAAAGGGTGCCGTGCACCCCTTCACCATCCACATGATGTGGGCTGGAGACTACTATTTTTTAAACCGAAATCCATCTACAATATGGATCTATGGTTTTCAAAGGATTCATGACCCAAACCATTTCCCAAATAACTATAAATCTATTTCCTCCTTAGATGCAGGAATCCAGAGCTCCAAATCTTTAAATAATTAAAATGAAGACCCAAAAAAAAGAGAGGGAGAAAATAGGTTTTTTCAGGCTTAAAATTCAACTTTTTTTCCCCCTGATCTTGGTAGTCTAAATGATAGACCTTCAAGTTTTTTTTATCATAAATCCTTCTTCAAGATGGATTTTGAGAGGTGGATTCTCTGTAGCAGGTCTACGTGACATTTTATGCCATTTACTACAACCCCTTAGTCTTAAACTTGAGGTTCCTCACATAACATTTGATGGCATCTATTTTTTTTTTTGTCGGGGAAATGATCATCTACCTGTGGTAAGAATGAAATTCAAGATGTGCAACTATCATCCTGACCACCCGTTCCTACAATTATTAGTAGCTATCGTTTTGACCACCCGTTCCTACAATTATTAGTAGCTATCGTTTTGCATGTAAACAGATAAAATAAAATAATTTAAGGTATTTCATTGCATGCATGTTAGAATATGTCGAAAATTCACCTCCACAATGGAAATGAAGGATTTATATTTCTGCTGGGATATTCTTTTCTTGATTTCTAGACACCAACAAATTCTCCCCCAAAAGTCTAAACCCCTACTTTTAGTGGCTTTGGCCAGAAAATTGCTGCCTGAATCGACCTTGATCGGGAGCACGGCACTGGAAAAACCTTGGAACCGCTCGAGTCTATTGCTTGGTTGTGAAGGCTTGGGGTGTAACACAAAATTCGAGAAATTTGTTTTTCGAACTTTGAATCAAGTCAATGACACTCAACCACTTGATTTGAAATTTGATGGACAAGAGTAATTTTGACTTCATTGTATTATAAGTAGATGGTCTTTTTGGTATACTTTGGGTAATTTAGTGAGAAAGATAGACCCTTACCGATTTTTTTAAATAGTTTAGGAGTTAGTTTTTTTTGAAGATATTACTGGGGTGGTGTCGGTGGGAATAGAAACTATAATATGGTGACTAGGAAGTGGGGGTGCTACCACCATGAACCCAGCCCGTTCCGATGTAGTTTGACCTTTAGAGAGAAACAATTGACACATTCTAGAAATCATATGAAAAGCTGCCGAAACTCGTGTGCAGTGCAGTTTATAGCGGCATCCAAACAAACTAAACACGATTTTAATCCCTTTTTTTTTGGTTTATTATGCTCTTTCTTGCTACTATATAGCTTCATACATCTATGAATATGCAGATTCATGTGGTTTGGAATATAGGGGTTGAAATGGAAGGTACCGCTATGAATAATCCATTAAGTCAATCAGTTCTTATAAGATGCATATATATCATTGATTTAGGAAAACGCCGGTTCGGCATGAAATCCCCCGGTTCAACCTGAGGATCGTTTACCCGTTTCGGTACTATCTATATATAGAAAAACGGCTGAGCCTAGAAGGGAACCGATGGTTCCACATGGTAAAACAGCTACCCGAGCTGTTGATTCATTGATTTGGATTGGTTTTTGGCCGGTTTATTATTTTTTCACGTGTTTTTTTTGCGTTTTACTCTTTTCCCCCTAGTAAAATGGTGAATATATAGAAAACGGCTTCGGAATGGTAAAACAACGACCCGAACTACCGATTCATTGATCTGGACTGGTTTTTGGCCAGTTTATTATTTTTCACATGTTTTTTTTTGCGGTTTACTATTTTTTCCTCAATAAAACGGTGAATCGAACCGTCGGTTCACCGTTTCAAACCAGTTTTTGAGCTATCTGATCTTGGTCACCGATCCACTTTCTAAGTCATTGGTATATATGAACCAAGAACTCTCTAGCATAAATTAAAGAACACGTTTATAAATTAAAGAACAAGTTTATAAATTAAAGAGCAAGTTTTTGGTGCGGCGGCGGTTTTATGAAATTTGGGAAAATCGTGCCACAAAACCCCGCGGATGGCCTGCAAATATTTTCTCCCATGATTGTAAAAGCTTCAAATGGTGTAATCTTATAGATATGTAAATGATGAAAATGGTCAAATCTAGGAAAAATGTTGCAAGAAAAGCTTCATATCGATGATCATCAGAGTGGAGACGGTTGAGCCTTGTATTTTTTGCACCTTAACTGTGCCCTTAGGTGAAATATTAGGTGGGGCTCTTTGAAGTTGTGGCCTTACAAAATACTTTTCCTAAATTGAGTATTAGTTGTAGTCTAATTGGAATTTCAAATTAATGAAATAGAATGTTTACATGGGTTACCCCAAGAGAACGTTTTAATGTTATTATAAATAATATCATCCATTGTTGGTGTTGGCTTTCGGTTACTAAAGAGGGATATGAAATCCTTGAGGTGGATATTAGGTTGCATCTTGCTAATTTAGCCCTCTCCCACAATAAGATGAGGCCATTGGTATTGGCTTTCAGTTACTAAAGAGGGATGTGGAATCTTTGAGGTGGATATTAGGTTGAATCTTGTTAATTTAGCCCTCTCTCACGGTGGTAAGATCAGGTTAGTTGGTCGATGGTGTCCACCGGTTAGAGGATGTTTTAAGTTAAATTTCGATGGAAGCTCTTTGGGTAACCCAGATTGGAGGGTATTTTAAGTTAACTTTTGATAGAAGCTCTTTGAGTAATCCAGGGGAAGCTAGTATTGAAGGAGTGTCGAGATATTGGAATGGTGCAATTATCTTTGCCTATGCAAGGTTGATAGGCATCGTTACAACTAATTGGCAGAGTTATTTGCTGTACTTTTTTGTCTCCAATCTTTTGCTTCTAAAAATTTGGGGTCGATTTGCACGGTAGAAGGGGACTCTTTAAATGTGATCAAATAGTGTAAAAAAGAGCAGCATATCCCTTGGGAATTCCGTTCTTTGTAGAGTCAGATCCTGGATTTGGTTACGGTCCGTTTGATAGAACCCTAATATTTTAGAATAATATAAAATCTTATGTAATTCTAATCATATGAGTTTCATTCCTTGTTTGATTAGCTCAAATCATAACTTCTAATATTCTAAATATTAGAATCTCCAAATATTCAACTTGTACTTGTAGCTAAATTTTTGCAGGATTTGATTTCTACGTTTAAAATTATTGCGTCCCTCTCCTTTCATCCACTCATCTCCCTCTTTTGTCCCCTCCCCTTCTTTCTCTCCTCTCAACCAAGACACCCACCCCCCTCCTCCCTTTGTCTATCTCTCTCATGGTGGATCGTCATCTCAACCTCAATGTCTCTCTCATGGTGGATCTCCACCGCCTTTCTCTCTCTCAATCTCAATCTCTTTCTCTCTCTCATGGTGGATCGTCCTCTCAACCTCAATCTCTCACTCTCTCTCATGGTGGATCTCCACTCCCCTTTGTCTCTCTCAATCTCAATCTCTCTCTCTATCTCTCATGGTGGATTGCCAAAGAAAGCATGGTGAATCGCAAGAAAAAGCAACCCAACCTCTTTTTCTATAAACATTAGGGTTTCAGTCATATGCTCTTCTTCTATCTATGTTGAAACTTAAGCTATGAGCTTTAATGGTGAATGGAAAATAATGTGACCCAGATGTCAAGTGTTTTTAAGACTAACATTGTCTTGGATGATTTCAAACTTTGGCACGACCTATTTTAAAGACCATTGAAATCCCCATTGTTGATGACTAAGATCAAATAACCTAGAGACGTACCATTGTTTTTCTTTCAAATATATGCGGGCAGTCAAACATGCGGGTAGTCAAACCTAGCAATGCCTTTATTCAAATTTTAAAAAATCTAAATTTTAAATTTTGGTTTTGTCAAACATACCCTTAGTTGTTTGACTATATGTTTTCAGCATGTTTACAGGTAAGCTAATTCTTTAGCTAATGATTTGATCAAGAAAGGAGTTACACATGATTCTATTCAATTCGATAACATTTGTCAAAAAAAAATAAAATTACAAGAAAAGGTTAGATCACATCGGGATTTCAACATGATATTAACTACTACTTTATTATTTGAAAAAAGTTTATATAGAGCCAAGGCTCTAAACAATCAAATTAGAGTGCACCTCAAAATTTTCACTAGAAGGGGTTGTTTTGATGCCCACATATCCTCAAATTGATCATCTTGACATCAAGATGCATGGACATGAAAAAAATAGATTTAAGTTTTGAGGATACTTTGGCATCAAAACAACCTATTTTTTACACTATTTGAAGGTAAGCTCTTCTTTGGTTGTTTAGTACCTCGGCTCTATACAAACCACACCCTTATGTATGTGAAAGAGGTCCAAATATAAGGTGCTATTTTTTTTTTTTAATTGTTAGTTTGAGACTTTAAAGGAATAGAACTCAAGATGTCATATATATATATATATATATGACGTGAGTTTTATAATATAAACATAACATATTCATAAAAAATCTATTTGGAAACATTGTTATGAAGCTAGGAAATATTGCAAGTAATTATTTGGACCTCGATATGTATGAATATGAAGGAAAAACAAAAAGATTTCAAGCCATAAAAAGAGCATCTTGTGACAAATTATACGAACTATCAATTTTCAAGATTATCAAGTACTTATAGATCTGCTTGATTTGCACTATTTTAAAAGCTCTAAATTTCATTTTTATGAATGGAAACATATTTCATGGGCATCATAAGGACTTATGGCTTATGACAAGGTAATACATATATGGATGCAATTTCTATGAGGCATAGGCCTTAGTAAAACAAAGTAAAGGTCAACTTGAATCCTTGTCCAAAAAGCACTTTGGGATAGTAAATATCCGTAATGGCTCTAAAATCAATTTTCAATGTCAACTATGAAATTTGAAGCTAAAAAAATAGAACAGATCTTGTTGATAGGTCGGTACTTATTTTTAAGGTGAACTGGATAATCTATATGTTGTGTTATTATAATATATATTAATTTAAGAAGGGAAATCTCAATTTTTTTTACAACTATAACGGTCAAGGCGAGATGAACGACTTGAAGGATTTTCGAACCTAAAACTGCAATTTCCGGTGAAATTTGGGATGAGGCTTTATTTATTTCGATAGGGTTGCGGTCCTATCAAACCATTTTCCTTTCTCTATATCTTTTGTCTCTCTCTCTTTATATATACAAGTAGGATTAGGTCTGTTGCATGAAGGAATGACATAATCAATCACATAAATAATTGTATAGATATGATTATTTTATTAAAAGACATTATAATATTTTTATAAATTTAAAAATTAAACAATAAAAAGCCATAAATAAAAATCTCAACTACCTATTGAGATGAACATTAATGGATAGTTTGCTGCCAACTCTCAGTTGAGATGCACAGCTAGCAGATGAGCATTTCATCGCGAATAGTTGATGTTGCATGAAGCACTCTACTTGCTAGAAAAATAATCAATGTAAAAAGCCAATAAAAAATCTAGAAAAAAAAAGATTAACATACCTAAATTAATTACCGATTACTTTCATGCGCTCAAGTTCATGTTTTTGAGGCATCAGCGGCATCCTCCGAACATAAATCAGCAACAGTTGGAGGGATGGACACATAAATTATTGGGTGGAAAAAGTGGTTCCCCAGATGTTCTTTACATAACATGAGATAGATTTATGAATGCATGATATACCAAAAGGAAATAAAATACAAATTATAATCATATGTGAGTAAGCATTGCATGTGGCAGATTTATGAGTGCATGACCTACCAAAAGAAAATAAAATGCAAATTTTCGTCATGAGTAAGCATTGCATTTAATGTGATGTTATTCATGTAATATCTATCCTATAAATGTGTTATTAACTCAAACTCTCATTTACTAGAAACTCAGAAAATAAGAATATGTGACGATTTCCATGTCCATTGGAATTGCATAAAATACAGAGAGAGAGAGAGATCTAAATATGAGAAGATGAAAGCAATACATGCGCTGAGATGGCCTTCTACCCATCAGTGGCTCGCACACCACGCATCTTAATTCATGGCCATCAGATATCCATTAAAACAAAAATCACAAATACATTAGGATCAAATTAAATATGCTGTAAAAGAAAAACGATGTAACTTAAAATAAAATTAGAATATAGTGAGAGAGAAACGGCGTCGATATGAAATGATTATATATATATATATATATATATATATATATACACG